AGGGTGAAAAATCTGTCTTAGATCTGTCCAAAGGGTTCAAAATTGAAAAGAAGAGAAAGAATGCTTCATTGTTGCTTATAGCTAAAGAATTTGAAAAGTAGGTGGTATTCTTTATATGTATGAGAACCCTTAACCTACTGTACTCCATGTCCCACGGACTACTACCCTGGCCATCATAACAATAGCAGGGCGAGAGTATATGCTTAGCACAATTACGAGCAGTAACAACTCGAACTGCTCCGATATCACTGAATGAAGCATTCAGGCGCTGAAGAAAGAGCTTAACGATAATGCTCTTCGCCATTTCTCATTACTTGCATCAGATATTATAATCAGAGAAATGGATAAAGGATGATACTCTTTTGGTTACTGATACAAATACATGAATAATACTGAAAATGCTTCTCAGACAACGGAAAGATTAAGCTAGAATGAACAATCTAACGATTCACTGAAGTCTCCTGTAAATAATAAACCCAAGAAGCTTACAGAAAGATTTCCTTTCAGCATTAGGTGGAATAAGGAAACAACATGGATTGAATATCTCGTCTATAGGATAGAATTAAAAGAGCTCTTTATCTGCATTTCCTTGCAGAACATCAAAATATGAGAAAATAAGAATCTCCGAATCAGTCTACTTTATAATCTATATTACAAATTAGCTTGAATCTCCTGTACCTATTATAGCTGCAGAATGCATTTTTCGAACAAGGTGCAATACGAATGATTTTCCATTAGAGAACCAGAACAAATCCTTCAGGCTGTTGAGAAATAGGAACTCCGCTTCAGAGAGATTTTCAATAAGCAATATTACAATGCATATATTGGATTACCAGATGATTGTTCCATATAATGCATAAACAAGAAAATAAGATAGTAGTAGTATAAGATGATACTTTGTACGATTTATATTAATGATAAGGTTTGCAACTAGTATTAACGGAAGAAAGATTAGGAATAATAACAATACAAGCAAAAGTAAGCTAAGAAGCTTGCTTAAGAAGCAGCAAAGCAGGCTCAGAAGGATAAGCAGTTCTCAACAAATTCAAAAGGATAGGATTGCTTGTAAAGGGACTACAGACGATCAGACTGAAACAGTTCCTATATGAAGCTTCTAAAACAGATTATGCTTATATCAAGTTCGATATATATATTCAAGAATACAAATATAGCGTACTATTGAACAGTGATGCTTAGAGAAACTTCATATTCTTATACATTATTAATCAGGCACAACTACAATGGAAATGAAAGAGATGCTCATATACTTTTAGCATTGTGGAAGAACAATCTGTTGTATACAACCAAGGAGTAATCGATAAGGAGATTGATTACTTATTTATTTTGATCTAGGGATATGCATTCCAGGTTTCCTTTGATATTACGGATATAGTACAGCATGAGCTGATTATAGAGCTTTCATAGCTTAAAGAGCACAATCCTCGAATCGATTGAATTACTGGCTAGATCTTATGAGAATAAGCTATATTCAGAGAGATAGTTATAATTAACAGCGCAGGATCGAAGCTAGTGGTTGAAGAATATTCAGGAAAAGAAGCTTTATACAACTTCATATATATCTTCAAACTAGCAAGGCTGGCGGTTCAAGAAGAAGGATCTAGTAATAAGCGAACTCAAACAGTGCTAGGGCGCTAACAGGTTAGCAAAACAACGGAAGCGAGACTCTCAGCAAGTCGGTTCGCTCTGGAGCAGCAAGGAAAAGCTTCAGAATGTGGATTGTGGAATTATACAGGAAAAACCTCGAAACTAGGCTCTCGAGCGCTCAGTTCAGCTCGGAGCGAACGCTCAAGGCTCTCGAAAACGCTATTAGAAAAGAAGCATGCTCAGCGGTATCTACTGTTCCTCCAGGTAGCAGAAATAGCATAAGGATCAGAACCAATACTTGTAAATATACTATGAGAATATCACAAGTTCAAGAAACTGTTTCAAGAAGAATTGAATACAGGATTGCTAGAATACAGCCTATACAACTACGAGATTCTGCTACAAGAAGGGAAATAGCTCAAGTTCTTCTCTATTTACAGATTAGATAAGATACAGCTAGAAGTACTTAAGGAGTATCTTGATAAAAACTTTAAGAAAGAATATATATAATTATTGCAATTATCAGCAGAATATCCCATTCTGTTTGTACTTAAGAAAAATAGCAAGCTTAGGCTATATATTGATTATAAGCAACTTAATAATATTATAATTAAAAATCGATATCCATTGCTACTTATTAAGGAATTATGAAATAGATTGCAAGGAGCATAGTGATTCATAGTTCTGAATCTGAAAAGAGCTTATAATCTGATCAGAATAAAAGAAGAAGAAGAATGAAAGACTGCTTTCAGAATATGCTACGGATACTATGAATATTTGATTATGCTCTTTAGCTTAATGAATACTTCAGCTTTATTTTAGGAAATGATCAATTATGTTCTATGCAAGCATCTGAATCAGTTTGTTATTGCTTATCTCAATAATATCCTTATCTACTCTTGAATACTTGAAGAATACAAGAAATATGTGGAAATAGTGTTGCAAATGCTCTAAGATGCAAAACTTCTTGTGGAATCTGCAAAGAGTTACTTTTATATACAAAAAGTTGATTATCTCGGATTCACGATCAAGCTGGGATGCATTAAGCTATAGAAGAATAAAGTAGAAGCTGTTAGAAACTGGCTAATTCCTAAAAACATTAGGGATGTTAGGTTTTTCCTTGAATATGTTAACTTTTATAAGCAGTTTATTAAGAATTACAGCTGAATTGCATATTCTCTTACAAATCTTACTAAGAAGGAATAATCTTTTGAATGGATTTTCAAAGCATAAAAAGCTTTCAATGAGATTATTAAGTATATTATCTTAGAGCTAGTTCTGTATAAAGCAGATCCTTATAAATCCTTTGAAGTTGAGATTGATGTATTAGGATATATACTTGAAGAATAATTTGATTAGCGAAATGATTAAGAATATTTAAGAATTATAAGCAACTTCTCAAAGAAGTTAAATAGCTCGGAAATTAACTATGAAATCCCTGATCAGGAATTCATAGCAATAGTGAAAGCTTTCGAGGAGTAGCAATACTATTTTATCAGCATATAATATCCAATTATAGTTCACTTGAATTATAAGAATCTGATTACATTCATAATAATTAAGGTTTTGAATAAGCAATAAATTAGATAAGCAGAATTCCTTTTATAGTTCGATTTCAAAATTGTATATTACAAGAGCTCAGAGAACGAATGAGCAGATGCTTTCAGTAGAAGATCAGACTATTAAGATGCGGATTCCTCGGATATACAGAATATCTTCGCTTAAGATAAATCAGGAAATCTTGTTAATGTATATAGAGAACTGAATGCTGCTTTCAGAATCGAATCCTTGAAAAGGAATTCAGAATCAATAATTCCGAATGAATAAAACAACTATATTAAGAAAATATATAGCATACTAGCATATAAGTATTAGAAAGTTAGAATAATTTATAAATATATCAAAAGATATTGGAATTTACTAGATCTTAGAAAAAGAATTGAAAATATTCTATGATAATGCAATAGCTGCAAGAAAAATAAAGCAGAAAGATATAAGCTTTATGAACTACTGTACTTCTTACTAATACTTATAATTATTTAGCAATTCATTAGTTTAAACTTTATTATTAAGCTATCTTTCTTATAAGAATTCTTAATTAAGATACAATATAATAGCATTCTAGTAATAGTTTGCAGACTGAGCAAGTATGCTTACTTTCTCTTCTATAAGAAAAGCAGTATGATAAAAGAATTCGTATATACATTTCTCAGAATGATCATTGCTAATCATAGTATACTAGAAGAAGTAATTTCTGATAGAGATAGAAAGTTCAACTCGAAATTTTGAACTTTACTTATAAAACAGCTCGGAATACATCACAGGATGTTTACAGCATTCTATTCGCAGATAGATAAACAGATAGAAAGAATGAATTAGGTTGTTAAATAATATTTTCAATACTATATCAATCAGAAACAGAACAACTGAGTTAATCTGTTACCTCTTATACAGTTTGCTTATAATAGCGCAGATATAAGCATAATAAAAAAGTTACTATTCTTTATATTTTATGAATATAATCCAATAGCTTATTATAAGATACTGCTAAGAGCAGATGCAGAAGCTGTAGATAAAAAGGTTAAGAAGATTAAGAAAGTTTAGAAGGAACTCTGATCAGAATTATAATTTGTTTAAGAATGAATAATGCAGTATGCAAATTCCAAAAGGATTAAGGGATTAATCCTACAGGAGGGAGATAAGATTTATCTACTTCGAAAAAACATTAAAATAATAAGATCTAGCAATAAATTTGATTATAAGAAGTTAGAATTATTCAAAATCTTATAATAAATCTCTCTAGTTAATTACAAGCTAGCATTATCTTATGAAATGAGAATATACTCAGTTTTCCACATCTTACTGCTGGAATCAGCAGCATAGAAAATATTAACAGATAATATAGCAGAAGTAGAAAACAATAAACTAGAGTATAAGATAGAAAAGATCCTCAAGCATAGAAGCATAAACAGCACAAGAGAATACCTCATCAAATGAAAAGGTTATTCAGCAAGCGAAAATTCTTAGAAACTACAGAAAAACATTAAAAATGCTTAGGAAAAGATAGCTGAATATTGAAAAAGGAAGGAAATCAGTACTTAAGATGATTGCTCTGCTCCGAATCAAAACTCAGAAGCCTCGAGAATCTTACTCTTCAGAAAGCTCAACTAATCTATTACAGAATCTCCCAAATCTACAGAATTCCAGTTGAAATCTCCAAAAGAAGAATCTCCAGCTACAACAACAGATTTCTCTGTTACTACAGCCTGCACTTCAGCAGCAATACATACTCTCTCAGCCTCAGCTTTCTCAGCTTCCATACAATCCAATTTCTCTATGCAAGTAATGCTACGATGCAGAGCACATTTCATCTTCTCGAACTATATCTGCTTCTGTTAATGCAAACAGAGAAGCTTAGTCTTCCTCTTCTCAATCTCATTCTCCAACTTTCGATGTTGAGTAGCAATATTGCAAAGCTTCTCAGGGGAAGAGCTCATAATATCGCACTTGAAGCAGCCCAGTTGAATGCATTCGATATAACGAGAAGAGTCTTCGGGAGATACCTTGCAGGATTTGAAACTATAATCCTTGCAATAGGAATAAACGAGCATCTCAATAAAATTTTCCAAGAGGCGGGAAATCAAGAGATCTTGATCTTGAGTACTCTTTGGAATAGAAGAAGATTTGCAAATATGGGATTTGTTGATTCTATTCAACATCTCAATCAGGAAAGCAAGATTATGTATACGAAGAACTTGCTAGAATACTTACAGAAGATTGTTGAGAATAATAACTGATAGAAGGAAGATGATGTTATAATTCATCCAATATGCAGATTACAGAATAAGCTCTACTAACCAAGAAACTAGGTATTACAACCCAATATCGGATACTAATCAGGATTATGTAATCCGGGTTAGGATTGCTAGCGCAGCTATGTTAACTATAAATATAATTAATATATTTAAGAAACAACTATGAGGAATCGGAATATAATCGGGATAATTAGAACTGAAGAGCTGAATATATAAGAGCATGTTCATTATCATTAGATAGATTCAGTATATAGCTCTTCAGTTGTTAATCTAAGTATTCAGTTTCATATACTGAGTAGCTCCAAAGGCAGTGAATACTTGCATCGCTTATTAGGACTTGTATGGTTCCGTATTCAAGGACTTGACACTTTGATACCGCTCTTGTTAGCATAAATCCCTTCGTGTATTTAGGAATCTTCGGATTGCTGCAGTGCTTATTACAAATCTGCTATTATAGCTAAGAATTCTTCTTTCGAGAGTTTTGATTAGAATTCTGTAAACTTAGAGAATTCTGTAGTAAACTAATTGAGTTTTCTGGAAAGTGAGATTTCTAAAGCTTCTGAGTTTTAGTTCGGAGTAGAGCAATTATTCTAGATACTGATTTCTTTTCTTTTTCAATACTTAGCTATTTTTTTCTAAGTATTCTTAATATTTTTCTATAATTTCTATAAATTCTTACTTGCTAAATAATCTTTCTATTTAATAAGATATTCTTTTATGCTATTTATATCTCTATACTTAAGAATCTTTTCTATTTTATACTCTGATTTATTATTTTCTACTTCTGCTATATTATTTATTAATACTTTCTATATTGCTAATTCCAGTAATAAAATGTAGAAAATCGAATATATTCTTATTCTATAAGATAATACTAATTTATAATTAATTAAGAAAATTTATTATAAGATTTTGAATAATTCTAACTTCTTATAATTAAGTTTATTACTAAATCTTATTATTTTGATATTTTTCCGAAATAAATAGATTTTATTTTTCTTCTATAGAATTAGTTTTTTAATTCTTTTAGAGTTTATATATTATATTATTTATTTCTAAATAAATTATAATTCTGATTAAAATTTCTTCTAAATCTTTTTAATCTTCTTAACTCTTTTATCTGCAGCTTTTATATTTGCTTTTAGCAGTATCTTATAATAAGCTATTGAATTATATTTATAAAGTATAAAGAATAATAATTTCTTTATTATACTTATATCTGCACTATTATAAGCAAATTATATAAGAAATAATAGATTAATTTAATTATTCTGTTTCTAATTAATATAATATTAAAAATATTATTTAATAATCTGATTTATTCTTTCTATTTATTTATTTATTTATAAATAAAATATTATAAATATTTTATAATATATTTTAAACTATTTTATAAGCAAAGTTTAAAACTTTAAATTAAACTTTCTATTTCTATTAGAGATTACTTTTTCTAGCATGCTATAGTTAGCAATAATTATTCTGAGGAATATATATATAAATTCTTCTGCTATACTGCTTTTCTTATAGAAAAGAAAGTAAGTATACTTGCTTAGTTTGCAAATTATTATTAAAATGCTATTATATTATATTTTAATTAAGAATTCTTATAATTATTTAGCAATTTATTAATCTAAACTTTATTATTAAGCTACTTCTCTTATAAGTATTAATAAGAAGTATAGTAATTTATAAAGCTTATATCTTTCTGCTTTATTCTTTTTATAGCTATTATATTATTATAAAATATTTCCAATTCTTTTTCTAAAGTTTAATAAATTCTAATATTTTCTAATGTATTTATAAATTACTTTAATTCTCTGATATCTATATGCTAGTGCACTGTATATATTCTTAATATAATTATCTTATTTATTCTGAGTTATTAATTCTGAATTCTTTTCCAAGAATTTAATTCTAAAGGCAGCATTCAGCTTTCTATATATATTAATAAGATTTTCTAACTTATCTTGAGCAAAAATGTTCTATATATCTAAGAAATCTGCATTTCGATAATCTAATCTTCTATTAAGAGTATCTACTTATTCATTTTCTAAGCTCTTGCAATATATAATTCTAAAGTTAAATTGTAAGAAGAATTCTATTTATCTAACTTATTGCTTATTCAAAACTTTAATTATTATGAATATAATTAGATTCTTATAATCTGAATAAACTATAATTAGATATTATATACTAATAAAGTAATATTGCTATTTCTTAAAAGCTTTTACTATTACTATAAGTTTCTGATTAGAGATTTTATAATTAATTGCTAAGCTATTTAATTTTTTCGAAAAGTTGCTTATAATTCTTAAATATTCTTAATTATCTTGCTAATCAAATTATTCTCTAAATATATATTCTAATATATTAGTTTTAATTTTAAAAGATTTATAAGAATCTGCTTTATACAGAATTAGCTCTAAGATAATATATTTAATAATCTTATTAAAAGCTTCTTATATCTTAAGATTTTATTTGAAAAGCTGCTTTTTTTTAATAAGATTTGTAAGAAAATATATAATTTAGCTATAGTTCTTAATAAACTGCTTATAAAAGTTAATATATTTAAGAAAAAACTTAATATTTCTAATATTTCTAAGAATTAGCTAATTTCTAATAGCTTTTATCTTATCTTTCTATAGCTTAATGCATTCTAGCTTAATTATAAATTCGAGATAATTAACTTTTTATATATAAAAGTAACTCTTTAAAGATTTTATAAGAAGTTTTACATTTTAAAGTATCTATAATACTATTTCTATATATTTCTTATATTCCTTTAATATTTAAAAATAAATAAGAATATTATTAAGATATGCAATAATGAATTAATTTAAATATTTATATAGAATATAATTAATTATTTCTTAGAATAAAACTGAAATATTTATTAAATTAAAAAATATAACTAAATATTAATAATATTTATAGCATATTCTGAAAGCAGTTTTCTATTTCTCTTCTTTCTTTATTCTAATTAAATTATAAGCTTTTTTCAGATTTAGAACTATAAATTACTATACTTCTTATAATCTTTTTATATATTTCTTATATTTCTTTAATATTTAAAAATAAATAAGAATATTATTAAGATATACAATAATGAATTAATTTAAATATTTATATAGAATATAATTAATTATTTCTTAGAATAAAACTGAAATATTTATTAAATTAAAAAATATAACTAAATATTAATAGTATTTATAGCATATTCTGAAAGCAGTTTTCTATTTCTCTTCTTTCTTTATTCTAATTAAATTATAAGCTTTTTTCAGATTTAGAACTATAAATTACTATACTTCTTATAATCTATCTTATAATTTCTTAATAAATAATAATAAATATTAGTTCTTAATTATAATATTATTAAATTATTTATAATTAATATATAGCTTAAGTTTACTATTCTTCTTAAATATAAATAAAATAAGATATTCTGCTAATAATTATAATAATTATATATATTTCTTTTTAAGATTTTTGTTGAAATATTTCTTAAATATTTCTAATTATGCTTTATTTAGTTTATAAATAAGAAAGAACTTAAGCTATTTTTCTTCTTGTAGCAGAATTTTATAATTATATAAGCTGTATTCTAGCAATTCTATATTCAATTCTTTCTGAAATAATTTCTTGAATTTGTAATATTCTTATAATATGCTTGCAAGTATTAGTTCTAGTTTATATATTATTTCTGCTATCTGAAGAAATAGTAAATACTGTTAAGCATGCTTCTTTTCGTTTGTTTTTAATAGCGCTCTTAGTGGCGTTTTTGAAAGCTTTAAGCGTTTGCTCCGAGCTGAACTAATCGCTTAAGAGCCTGGTTTCGAAGTTTTTTTTGTATGAATCTATAATCTATATTCTGAAGCTTTTTCTTATCGCTTTGAAGCAAACTAACTTGCTGAGAATCTCGCTTTTATTGTTTTGCTAATCTGTTAGCGCTCTAGCACTATTTGAGTTTGCTTATTACTAGATTCTTCTTCTTGAACTGCTAGCTTTGCTGATTTGAAAGTATATATAAAGTTATTTAAAGCTTCTTTTCCTAAGTATTCTTCAGTAACTAACTTTCATTCTGCGCTATTAATTGCAACTATCTCTCTGAGTATAGCTTATTCTTATAAGATTTAGCTAGTAGTTCAATTAATTCAAGAATTATACTTCTTAAGCTATAAAAGTTTTATAATTAGCTTATATTATGCTATATTTGTAATATTAAAGGAAATTCTAATTATATATTCTTGAATTAAGATAAATAGATAATTAGTTTTCTTATTAATTATTTCTTAGTTATATATAATAAATTGTTCTTTTATAGTGCTAAGAGTATATAAGTGCTTTTTCCATTTTCATTATAATTATATTTGATTAATAATATATAGAAATATGAAGTTTTCTTAAGTGCTACTATTCAATAGTGCACTATACTTTTATTTTTAAATGTATATATTGAGCTTAATATAAGCATAGTTTGTTTTAAAAGCTTTATATAGGAATTATTCCAGTTTAATTATCTGCAATTCCCTTACAAGCAATCCTAGCCTTTTGAAATTACTAAGAGCTGCTTGCTCTTCTAAGCTTGCTTTGCTGCTTCTTAAGCAAGCTTTCTAGCTTGCTTTTGCTTATATCATTATTATTTCTAATCTTTTTTCTATTAATGCTAGTTGCAAACTTTATTATTAATATGAATTATATAGAATATCATTCTGCATTGCTATTACTCTATTTTCTTGTTTATATATTATCTGAAGCAATTATCTAATAGCTTAATATATGTATTATTGTGCTGCTTGTTGAAAACTTTTCTGAAGCAAAGCTCTTATTTCTTAATAGCTTAAAGAATTTATTCTGATTTTCTGATAGGAAACTATTTATACTATACTTTTTCCGAAAAATGTATT